CCTATTCTTGAGAATGCAAGAGGTCTAGCTTCAATTTATAGTTGGAAATTGTCCCTTTGTTTAGGTTTTTGCATAAAATAAGGCACGGATTTATAGCTGCCTTTTCTTATTTTTAATAGTGGAAAAATAAAAATTTGACACAGTAAATTACTATTCTTATGGGTTTAGTTGTGATGGCATAATGGGCCTTATCCCTCAAAATGCATCTATCACATGTACATAGAAACTAGTAAGAAAAAAAGACAATATGAAATAAACATGAAAGCAAGCAAGAACACCAAAATAAATTACAAATCTTGATTTCTAAGTGTCTTTAATCTCTTAACATTTTGATGTTGATCCGACATTATAAAGTTTAACCTATTAAAAAATATATAGAAGACGTAAATATATAGACCCAGATCCGACATTATAAAGTTTAACCTATTGAAAAATATATAGAAGACGTAAATATATAGACCCACAAAATCTCCAATTGATAATTCATACAAGTAAGCAAGAACACCAAAATCAATTGAAAATCTTGTTTGATAATTCATAAGTCTTAATTGTAAATCCTAATTGATACTTCATAACCCTAAACAATCTTCAAAATTCCGACATCCACACATTTAAAGAAGAAAAAGAAGATAAAGAATTGAAGATTACCTTAGTTTGCTTTAATTAATTTTTCAAGAATGACATAGGTTTGTTAATGGATTTTATTTGGCTGGGATGGGGTTATCACATGTGTTTATTTAGTTTAGTTTTTTTGTTTTTATGGGTGGGGGGGGGGGGGGGGGGTTAGTTAATTGAGATATTTTTTTGTGTGTGGGTGGGTGTGTGTGTGTGTGGTTGCCTGGGCCGGTTGGGGTATTATTTTAGGCTAAAAAAAATCAGGTCACCTAGGCTACAACTCAGGTTACCCTCAATGTAGGACCGTCCATGAGTCAGCCATGGCTGAATTCTTAAAACTCCCAAACTCCGGCGGTGTCAAGGCTTTGGAACTTCGCCTCATTGACAGTGAAGTATCCATTGACGGCAACCAGGTTATCTTTTTCTTCAATATACATGATATGTTTATATATATATATATATATATATATATATATATGCGGATCCGTGGCACCATATTTTTGACACAAGTTTTGACACAAATTTTAAACCATTAGATTAGACTACAATAAATGGCTGAGATTAAATAAACTAAATCTTTCATCTTAAAATAATTAAAATTTAATCTAATTAACTTTTCTATTCAATTTTATCTCTCCTCATCTTCCTAAAAGCATCAACATTCTCTCTCATGACATCTTCTTCTTCTTTTTCATGATTGTTAGGTTTAGGATTCTTAGAATTGGCTTTCCTTGCCAAATGTACAATTTCATGTAATTCCTCTTAGCTCATCTTTACAAATTAGGCATTGGGTATTTGCTACAAAGTTGCAATACATTGAAGAGCTTACGAGGCTACAAAACCCAGGTAATTTGTGCACTCATGTATGATGGGCATCATTAGGAAAATCATCATTTGCATCCACATACTTTGTCGAGATGACTAGTCATATAGGCCAAATCAACATTTGCATACATATACTTTGTCGAGATGACTAGTCATATAGGCCAATATTTCCAGCATGAGATTTTTAACCAAGGCAAGTGATTTTGCTTATTGTAAGTCCAATAATTGGCGGCCAAGTATCCTTTTGACTTACCAAAAAGGCCTGGGCTGGTCTGGACTCACAATCTCTCTCATTTACCATTTATGATATGGTTTTTGAGAGAGAGAGAGAGAGAGCGCTAGTGAGGGACTAGGTATAGCTTTGATTTTTGAGAGGCATTTTTTGCCTTTGCCATTTTCAGAGAGAGGTTTGGAGAGCTTTGATTTTGCTCTACATCTTCTCTCTAAATGCATCTTTGAGAGAGAGAGAGAGAGAGAGAGAGAGAGAGAGGAGAGAGAGAGAGGAGAGAGAGAGAGAGAGAGAGAGAGAGAGAGAATAGTCATCTTCTTCTTCTCTGCATTTGCAGCTGGGTATGGTTTGAGTTTTCAAATGAGGTTTTCAAATAGCTTTTGAAATATGCTCTTATTTTCGAAATCTACTTCACCCATTCAGAAATTTTGAGAGTAAAACTTAAACTCTACATTCTCTAAGGTTTTTCATTGCGAGATTTTGAAAATGCTTTTTTAAAATCTACTGTGCTTTTTATAATCTGCATCTGGGTTCAGTTATGACTAGTCATCTTCTTTTGTCTGCATCTAGGTTCATTATGACTAGTCATTGTCTTTAGTCTAGATCAGATTCTTGGTTGATTTCTTCAAGAGTATGGTTTGTTGAAGGAATTGACTCTTTCATCTCAGAATCTATATTTCATTATATTTGTTCGATATGGAGTTGAGTCGCCAGTGCCATGGAGTGAAGGAGTTGATGGACTAGCTACCACTTACATGACGGACTAACTACTAGCTCAACCAAGTTGGAGAAGAAGATTGCATAGAGGAGGTATAACTTGTTTCCTAAATAGATCCAGAATTTCTTAAGCTTGCTTGTGTATTCTCTGTAAGAATCTTTTTTGCTTATTGGATTGCCTGGTCGGATGATGATCCCCAGTTTTTCCCAATGGTGAGTTTCCGGGTGAACAATTTTTTGGTTTTGTTGTTCACTATTTTTTGGGTTTGTGTTCTTATTGTTGACTAGTCATCTTTTGATGTTGATGTTTTTCTAGGTTTATGTTCTTGCTGTTGACTAATCATCATCTGATATTTGTTATTCATATGGTTATGATGTATTCACACACTTACCACTTTAGTTGTTGCTAGCACAGTAGATGCCTAGATTGAGGGATCCTTCTGAGTGCCTAGGTTGTCACTAGTAATCTTCTAGGCTTGCAAGTATTGATTGTTGTTCTGTGTGTGTGTGTGCTTGTTGCTAGTTTTTATGACTAGTAGTTGACTGGTCATATTTGTCTATGGTTAAGTTAAAAGTGTGGATATTGTTGAGTCCGTTGGATTGGCATTTAATTTACCCCCCTTCACCTAAGTACCAATTTCAATGACTTTCCCTTTTTCTCTCTCTTCAATCTTCCTTTTGCCTTTCAAATAACATCGAAGTCCACACACCATTTTCCTCCATAACAAGAAACAAAGAACCCAACCCATATAGCAAAATCAAATACCTAGTAAGGAAGATTGACGTAAGGAGGAGGAAGGTTGATCTCTGGGTTTTTCTTTACTTTTTTTTCCTGGTGCTGCTAAATTAAAACTTCTATTTCCCCTTGCTGAGAAAAACAAAAAAAGATCAAGCATAGGGAATATGACTAAATTTCTAGATTTTAATATGATGGAGAATTTCCAGTTAACCAAAATAAAGAGAAAGGAGCCATGGTTGCTGCTTCTCTCAGTCAATTAGTTGCTAACTTATTACATACTGAAATAAAATTGAGATTACTGATAACGGGGGAAACGAAATTGATTGAGATTCATTGTGATCATCCCCAACGAAATTTCAAGAAACTAAGAGCATGATTACCCTGCCCTCCCATTGAAGTCCCTAAAATTCGTTTTGATTCTGAGTGGCGAGAAAGTTTATGTGTAGAATTTGGGGTACTGTGCAATTCATAATTGTTAGGTTAAAATAATAATAATTTGAATAAATGTATTATTTCAGAGATAATAATAAATTAGTTGTGAGATTTAATCTAAACCATTAAACTTTATTAATATGCCTCGAAATTAACATATTATCTCCCCTCTCCTCATAATGCAATAGATTCATGAACTGGGGTGGTTGGTAAAAACTAAGTTGCCTTTTGATTTCCATATATCAAAACAAGCTTGGCTAATTTACATGGTTGTGGCTCTACACAATGTTTGATGTAATCTTTGAAATTGAAGCTAGCCAGTAATTTCATCTGTTTTCAAGCATCAGACTGTACTGATTGATTTTTTTTTTTTTTTTTTTTTTTTTTTTTTGGTCGAGAAAAATTGTTGGGACCGTCCGTTAGAACAAAAGGAACTCTATATTTTTGGCTTTTGCAGCATTGAAACTGCAACATTATTGAAAACAGAACAAATTAAATGACATAATTAAAAGAGTACAATGTGCGCACTCTGTGCCTTGAAATATTTCTTATTTTCGATTGAGAATTAAGATTTGTGGGACAATTTGATGTCTAGCTTCATGAAGGCGTCTTGTGGTGATTGAAATGCATCTGTAGCCATCTAAATACGTATACTTTGATTGTGAAGGTTGCTGTTCATTACTATGGAAGGTTTGCAGAGAAACAAGGATGGCGCTTTGACTCGACATATGATCACATAGATGAAAATGGTGAACCGATTCCTTTTGTATTCGTTATTGGGACTGGGTAAGTCCTCATGTCAATATGATCTCCTAGTCTTTACGATTAAAAAGATATTACTATGAGTCCTTTGAAAATATTGTGTTGTGTATCATTAACCTACAACTTTAGCTAGCTGATTTAAAACAATGTTGTTATGCAATACAGATTCCATTTCTCCATTATATCGACGGAGTGGTTACGTACAGCTTCAGCTTATATTCCTTCATGTTATGTCACATCTGATGATATTAAAATTAGTTGGTCACACAAATTTTGGACAATGTCATAAACCAGGAAGGCCAAATTTTCTTCTTATTTCTGCAACTAGGTGAGAATGTAGCATTAGTTAGAAAAGTATTCTCCCCACATTTTTTTTAAAATTTTTGTTTGTCAAGAGTTGTGAGACTCTCTTCATATTGATGTTGCAAACGCATATGCAGGTCATTTCAGGGATTGAAATAGCTGTGAAATCTGTCAAAGTGGGTGGTGTTCCTAGAGTTGTTAATTATACCGCCATCACAAGGGTATCTGTGGTTTGCATGGGCACACTTGTGTCTAAAGTATAAACAGAGAGAGAGAGAGAGAGAGAGAGAGAGAGAGAGAGAGAGAGATGTTTTAATTTCTCAAAAGTTGTTTAGACTATTTTATTGTTGAGAAAGTTATACAAAATCCCCATTGATGTTAACACATGTAGCACCAGCACTTTTTGCCTTTGGGACCATCAGCACGGCAAAGTCCCATCTTTGCTTTCTCTCCTTTGCATTTTTTGTCACACTCTGGGTGGGCTGTGCAGGTGGTCATCGACTTGCTCGCCTGCTTGCATCCTCTTTGTCCTTCAACCGCTGGCACTTCTGTATATATTATCACAAAACGTTTCTTAATTTCTTATACTCTTCTTAATTATTACAACTTTGTAAGACTAACAACTAAAACAAAGAAGATATATTTGGGATGTCATGTCTAATAAAATTAGTGACATTATTATAAACTTTGGGAAGTTCGTATGAATTGGCTTGTAGTGCAAGAAATGATGTAAATATAAACTTTTCGAGTTGATAAAGGTTTGAGGATCACTCACCCATGGAAGCAACGAGAAGGAGAGCTATTAGTAGAACAATTGTGGTGCTGGAGCCAACAGATTTTGCCATCTCGGAAGAGTTTAGGATTGAAAGTGGTTGGATTCGAGAATTTCCAATCCAACTTGCAACCCTATTCTTGAGAATGCAAGCAAGGTCTAGCTTCCAATTTATAGTTGGAAGTTGTCCCTTTGTTTAGGTTTTTTCAGAAAATAAGGCACGGATTTATAGCTGCCTTTTCTTATTTTCAGTAGTGGAAAAATAGAAATTAGGCACAGTCAATTGCTATTCTTATGGGTTTAGTTGTGATTCCAAAGTTAAAAACCACATTTTACGGTTTGACTTCTCCCATAAGTATACGAATACTTCATATATCCTTTTTTATTAGTGGGAAATGCTTTTTCTAATTTTCTATTAATTGACAGTTTCCAATTAGGATATGAGATGGATCATGGATTCTTTTCTTTCAAAGCATTCTCGTTGGTCCAATCAACCAGAGAAATGTGTGGTTTCTGAACCCATTGAGATGACCCAAGAATTTCGCTAAATTCTGGATGCTTCCCACTTTGTTTTTATTATGCTTCTGATTCAGTTTTATTGTTTCTAGTTTCTATGTTTGTGTAAACTTGCAGTAAAATATGCAAAATATTCACTTTTGGTAAAATACTGAGAAATACACCACACCTCTCAGTTACAAAATAAGTTATGGACTTGGATATGCACAAACTCAAACTCAGTTCTTGCACAAAATGTCCTGCTAACATAGGTGGGCTAAAGCCCCCCTAAGAAATGGAAGAGGAAACTTCTTTCTTTGGGGGTCAAAGGGCTATTCTGTTAAACTCCCACACTTATTCCCTCCTCTTCCCAAGTCTGACCATTGATAACACTCACACAACACAAGTTTCACCATCATTCTCTTCAAAGCTGAGAGCTCCAGCTCTCCTTCTTCACGTCAGTCTTGTTGACTGCTTCGAAACCCATATCTCCTCATCTCAAAATGAAATATTTCCTTCTTCAGACTTGTTTATCTGTTTGTCTTCTAAAACATATAAAAAATTGAGCCCAATCGAAGAAGTTTATTTACCTAAAATTCAGTTTGCGTACAAGCTGTTCGTCACAACATGATTCTCTGCGTAAGGCTCGGGTTTGGCCTTAAATGTCTATTTGCCACTGTTCTTTTGGTGAAGTAGTATTCATCAAACTTGTTCCTCTGTTCAAGAGCTACAATATCCAAACATCAAGGCAATCTGAGATGTCTATCTACCTCAAATCCTGTTCAAGGTGAGACTAGTCTTCACTTTCGATCTGTTTGCTGGTTTCACTCTAGTGTGCCCTTATTCATTCTTGTATGTGGCCTTCCTCTGATCTAATGGCTTCGTTCCTTTCATCAAAGTTGTTTATCTATGTCTTGGATATAATCTTTCAAAATTGGAGCTTCATCCAAGAAGTGTAGTCATCTCAAAGCGTGTTGAACTGTCGCCTGCTCATTCCTGTCCGTTGTATTGATGTAGGCTCGAATTCTTTCTTGCATATGTTTGGGGGTGATCAAAATTCACCAAATTTGCCAAGGAAGAATTCCTAGAGGCTAAGAATTCCAAGCTGCTCGAGAATCCCTAGCAGGCGAGTATTCCTAGCGGCCAGAGAATTCCTAGCGGGCGAAGAATTCCTAGCGCGCGAGGATTCCTAGCAGGCGAGATTTCCTAGCGGGCGAAGAATTCCTTGCGGGCGAGATTTCCTAGCGGGCAAGGATTCCTAGCGCGCGAAGAATTCCTAGCATGCGAGATTTCCTAGTGGGCGAGAATTCCTAACTGTTGAAGTGCTTTCTCAAAAATGCGGCCGAGGTGTTTTCTTCAAAGGCTGTGGTGCCTTCTCAAAAATATGGTTGGACGCTTTCCTTTACAAAAGTGGTTGAGCATATCCTTGCAAAAGTGGTCGGACATATACTTGCAAAAATAGCCGGGCATATCCTTACAAAAGTGGCCGAATGCTTCATTCTCAAAAAGTTGGGCCAGGTACTCCTTGAATACCTTGGTCGGCCACTCCTCTTACAAAAAGCTAGGCTAGGGAGAATTTTCTCCTTGCTCACCTTGGCGCCCTCCACTCAACACTTGGGAAAGCAAAGTCGGGCCAAGGGAGTTGAAGTTCGGCAGGAGGTATGTCCACCGAATTCCCAATATTTGAATATTTGAGAACTCAAATATAGTCCAATGTAGGGCCAAGCCCAAATATTTGGAGTTCCCATACCACCCATCTTGGCGGATGGTCAACGGGTGGTAAGCCAACTCTAGAATTCTAAAAACTCAAGGGGCATAAGGTTCCACCAGATGTCAAGATGAAATCTCGGAGGTCAAGGCCCAAGCCACGGATTCACGCCCAACATTTTCAGAGGTCAATGTGCATGTGATGGAAGCCTCACAAGGAAACAAATCAAGGAGATTGATGATAGTTCAGCATACTCCAAAACAAGAGAGAATCAAGCAATCAAAATATTTCAACCAATGTAGTCCCACAAATTCAAGGGGCCTCAAAAGGAAAGATTTTTAAAAGGGTTGACATTTGGCCATTCAATGGCCAGCCCATGGGCTTACGAATGCCCTATATAAACCTCACCAGACGAAGACAGAAGACACACAACATCAGACAGACAAACCTATTTTTCATCTCACACTTTTCTTTTCCTAGACTTAGAATTTTACTTTTCATGCACCTAGTGTAGCGAGTTCTTCCTTTTCTTAGTGAAAGTTTCAATTCTTGTTCAATTTATATTTTCTTGTCATTTAAATTCAAGTTTATTTCTATTTCTTTACTTTTCATTGTTATCGTATTTCAATTAAATTTAATTTCAAGTTCATTTAACTTTATCGTTCTTATCGCTTTCATTTCGTTCTTGCTTTATTTATCACTTTGATTCATTTTATTGCACTTTAATTCTCGTCTTTACTTTATTTATCTTTCGCACTTTACTTTACGCATTTGTCTTTAAATTATATTTAAGTTTAAGCACCTTTACTTTACGCACTTATTCTTTGTTTCATTACATTTCACCTTCAATCTTCATCTCTACCCACTCCACATCATTTGGTCGCTCACACAAAGCCTTGACCCCAAGGTAGTGAAAGAACCTAGGCCATGAGGAGGTTCCTTGCTCGGCTGAACAATCGTTTGATTAAAGTCAGATCTCAGACGCAACATCTATCTACTCACATTCCATTCAAGCCCAAATTTGGGGCTTAGTGGTGGCACACCCTACACTCAAAAAAAAAGAATGACCAAAAGTTCCTTCAGTCGGCCGCCTCAGCTGAAAAGTGGGAAACATAATTTGGCACGCCCAGTGGGACACACTCTATGAGCGACCAAAAGGAATGGTAGCATTCCTATCATCTGATGAACTACAATGACTATGATTCTTATGGCTCGAATAGCCAATCCATTGGCCAACACTATGGCCAATATAATTTTATCCATCAAGGTGGGCCTAACAACCAATATGGCTCAAGTAGTCAATTTGGTGGCCAATATGATGGGCACAACTATGTTGGAGGATTTGGTGACCAATATGGTGGGCACAACTATATTGGCGGAAATGATCCTATGAACCAAAATGGTTTGATTGATCAAAATGGATTTGGTGGCCAAACCAATCAAGGTGGCTATAGCGGCCAGTACGATTCTACATATCAATATGGCTTTGGTATCCAGTTCAATTGCCAACATGACGGAAACAAAAATTATAGCCAAAATAATATGATATATCAAAATTATGCGAATGGCCAATACAATCAACTGGCTCGAGGGCAATACACTTACCGAGATGCCCAAAATAATCCGGCCAATATCTATGATCAACCTAGTTATGGCTCCCACCAAACGAATCATTCTAATGGCTATAATGGCCAAAATATTCTTAGTGTAAGTGAGAGGCCATATGTTGACCGCATGAACAAAGAACATCAAAATTTCATAAAGGAAATATTTGAAGTAAAAGAAATGGTGGATGAGTTTTATGCTTCCAACGAACATTTGATCCAAGGTTTGCGTGAAATCGCCTTGCAACTTGCGGTCGAAGAGCAAGTTCTTATCCAACAAGCCGAGAGGCAAACTCTCAACCCCAACCTTGATTCTCAGTCACAAGAGGAAAATTCTTATGTGGTTGCAAGTCGGCCACCCATTCCACCTACTCCTCTAGAAGAAAGTGGGGTTAGTAGGGAATATGAGAATAAGAAAGAGATGGGCAAGACGACCTTAGGATCAAATGTTCAAGTTGACCGTCCTATTGAGAGCCTAACATTGGTTGAGGAAAAGGAGTCCACTCAGGGGGATGAAACCCAAAAGATGGTCACCGATGAAAATTGCAATATGGTCCAACCCAAGGCCACTATCCTAGGATGTAATAGCTTACCACCTAGTGAAGAAAGAGGTCAAAGCACGACCCAAGGTGATATCATAATACACATGATTGTAGGAGAAAAACTTGACATTGCGAGACCACAATTGCAAGTGGTCAAATTTATTGAGCCCCAGCCAAAGGCCAAGATTGGCTGACCAAATGGACTTGGGGGGCATGACGGGTCGGCCAAAGTGATGGCCAGAAGTCATCTAGGTAGTGCTAGTCATCCTAGTATTTCAACCCATTGCCAACAAAATGGCAAGATCCGAGTCAGGAATAAGAAGGGCTCCAAACTTGGAGTAAAACATGGTTGGCCACCCGCATGGTCTCTATGAAAATTATGTTATACATGGCTATCTACTAGGAAGGCCGTTAAGATTCAAATAAAGGTTATGGTTCATTCTTGATTGAATTGGCTACTTAGCTAAAAAAAATAAATAAAAGGGCTCCAGATTGAGTTTCGTTGGCGGAAGATGAATGACACCTTGATTTTAGCCACAGAGGTGGAAGTTTGTGATTTTTGGGCGAAACATGACTTGGGGCCATGTCCATCACCCAAGTAATCAAATGGTTGGTTCACTCCTCATGTATACTCAGCGACAAAATATTTTGACCGCTCAACATGGCCAAAATGGTCTCGGCCGAACCACGGCCATTGACCAAAATGATCTCGACCGAGATCCAGTCATCGGTCTCGACCACGTGTTGGTTGAAGATGTTATGGAAGTCACTGGGATACTAATCTTGAGGCCGAATTCGGCCACTTCATTGGAATTCCAACAATTCATGTGTGATATAAAGACAATGGCACAGACAATGGCCACCCAAAATGCTCAAATCAATGAGAGTTGGATCGATTGCTAGGCCAACCAAACGGCCAAAATGGGAACCAAGGGGCACCTAATAAAGTGAATCCGCCCAACCAAATCCACTAGTTGGGGGCAACCCAGCCCTAGCGGTTAATGTTCCGCCAATGAGCAACAACCCATATGTAACGGCCAACCAATTCCAATCATTCCCGCCATACAATCAATTCCGCTCCCAAGCTCACCAAGGGGCCAGAGCCAATTTTGCTGAGCCTCATATCAACCAATTCGTCGGAGTCGGTGATTGGAATAATCTCGGAGGAAATGTGAACAACTCGTTGTTAGGAAACCAATTAATCGACCGAGATGCAGTTGAACAAATGATTCAAGATATGGTGCCCTATGCTAGGCGGATTCGTAGGTTAGTCTACCGGCGGCCATATCCAGAGCACTTTGATTAAGAGGAATTTTCGAGAGGTTTCAAGGTTCCAGATTTTGCACTATTTTCGGGAGATGGGCTCCAGTCGACCGTCAAACATATTGGCCGATTCATGGCCCAATGTGTAGAGATTGGGCATCGTGAGCCCTTGAAACTAAGGTTATTCTCAAGTACACTCACGAAGGCAGCTTTCTCGTGGTATGTCAAACTTCCACAAAACTTCATCCCAAGTTGGCAAGTCATTGAGTAAAACTTCCACGAGCAATTCTATCGGCCGAAGTCGGAAGTCTCAATGGCCAACTTGGCAAAGATAAGCCAAATGCCAAATGAGTTGGTCCAAGAATACTTGGGGCGATTTAGAGAAGCAAGGGCTAGGTGCACAGTTAATATGCCAGAGCTCGAATTTGCGAAATTGGCCCAAGGAGGATTGTTACTTGACCTTCGAAAGAAATTCGAAGGAATTGAGTTCGGTGACATTTATGATCTCCTACTTTGGGTGCACTGATACGAAGCCCTTCTAAAGGAGGAACAACAAAAGGGGCGGTAGGCACCTAAACCAACCTTTTATAAGAATTTGGCCAAACCCTTCGGGCCTAGAACTATGGCGGTCCACGCGGTGGACGTTAAAATATATAGAGTCGGAAGAAAGAGATCTAGAGGTTTTCCTAAAAAATGAAGAAAATTCGGGGTAAACTTGGCCGAGATTATGGCCAAAGGGCCATATATGTGCAAGACTTTGGCTAAAGCCTTTAAGGATCAAAGGCCGATGACGGCCCAAATTTTCAAGTTTAGTACCTCTCAAAAGACTTCATCGATCGGAAGATCTTGAAGTTTCCAGAGAAAGTTATCATAGGCATTGACCAGAACCCTTTTGCAAATGCCCAAGTCAATATGGTGAATGTCAATTTCCCAAGGCCAGACCAACTTAGGCAAAGGTTGAACTTGTGTGGCTCAGCAAAGGCTGCGGCAGAAAGAAGGGCAAGGGAGTTTCCGGCAGACCCTAAGGCAAGGGGCAAAGCTAAAATGTACCCTGAGGTGGCCAAGGTTCCTGAGACAAAATTTTCAACTAAGGAAGAACCTCCAAAGGCCATTATCCTATGCAGTTGATGCCAATGTGAGGTGACTCTTGAAGTGGTTCCGCCGGAGCCTAAGGAGCTAACCAATGAACCTACCAAGGGGCTGATTAATGAGTAAACCAAGGAACCTACCAATGGGTTGATTAAGGAGCAAACCAAGGATCAAGTCTAAGTGAGCAGACCTAGGAGTTTCGAAAGGAGTATGATAACAAGTCCGACCGAGAATTACGGCCCACATAGCCCAAGAGGCAAAATTGGAGTAAGGCCGAACAAACGGCCATTGCATGAAAATTAAGATAGGTACGAGATGCCACAATATCAGCCTAAGAGGAGAAATCAACATGCCCCTCTAAGGTGTGAAGACATTGATTCGCAGGACTCAAGCCAAAACAGAAGCATGTGAATTTCGATGGGCGAAGGCAAAAGCCAAGATGTGGCCTATGTATCAAGACCCCGCCCCGCAAACGGGAATGTTGTCCCAACTTTCAAGGTGCCGAACACAAAAGCGGGCCAATGGTATAGAAGAAGAGACCTAAAACTCCTATCGATACCCTTGAGCAAACGAGAAGGGCTTAAAGGCAATATGCCATCACTTGCAAGGTGAAGTTAGAATGGGCGGGCAAAAGGCAAACTCAACTTGACCGATTGGTCGAGCTTCGATTGGAGGAATTGGAGTTGGCCATGACCGATGTCGTCGCTTCCTTAGTGGCAGCCGCAGCCGAGGAAATGAAAATACATCAAGAATGGGTGAATGGTTAAGTCGTGGTAACGGCCCCGAAAGAGCCAATCTCCGAGTTGGAGGCCCATTTGATGGGTCTTTTGAGGCAAATAACTCTAAAGTGGAAGTTAGTAAGCTGATCAAGATGAGAGGAGATAAACCTCTTACGGTTGAAAAGGCAAGGGTGGCTCCACCGAAAGTCAAGCCTCTTGTCGCTAAGGCCCCGACCATGACTAAAGTGGCTTAGCCCACCAAGGTTGAGAATAAAAAAGACCAAAACATGGTCCAAGAAGTTGGGGATGAGCCTCACAAGACTTTAAGCGAGCCTAAGGCGGAAGAAGACTAAGTCATGGTCGACGCCGAAGCCAATGTGGTAAAAGAAGAGGTCGAGCACACGGTCGAGGAAGAAGCTAAAGAGCCATTGGAAAATGTCGTCCGAGGACGAAGAGCTCTATGGGGATGATGAGGAGTATGTTGATGATGAGTACTTAGATGATTTGGCGGAGGAAGCTGTGGAACACTTAGAGAAAGAATGCAATGAAGAGATGGCCAAGTTTGAGAATGAACTAAAAGTGGGCAAGGTCAAAGTGAAGTTTGGAGACTTTGACGAGGTAAATGCCATGGTTGTTACACTCCCACTATTTTTCGAAGCTCGGCCGGATCAACCTAATTACATGGACAGAGATGTGTTTAATAAGGTTGACTCCATGGTCCAAATGGAAGGGGCCAAAGAAATTGAGGTGGCCCAAGAAATTCAAAAGGAAGGGAATGCCTAACCTTGCATCGTGGTGCCCAAAACGGAGGAAAAGTTGCCGGAGAAGGTGTGCTATGAGATGCCCACCAAGAAAATGTCATTCCACCTTAAGCGCTTGTGTGTGGGAGCTCATTTCGAATGAGTTCTGGTGAGCAAAGTTCTTGTAGAGACGGGCGCTACAGTTAACATCCTACCAGCCTTAATCATAAGGAGATTAAAGAAATGCTCAGATGAATTAATTTCGACCGAGACAACGGTCAGTGGGTTCCTAGGAGACACCACGACTTCAAAGGGGATTATCCTACTCCAAGTTAGAGTTGGGCAAAAGGTTAGAATGACTGCCTTCTTTGTGGTGGAGACAACGACCCATTTCAATGCTTGGTTGGGCCGAGATTGGATCCATGGAAGTAGTGTGTGCCCTCTTCACTTCATCAATTTTTACAATTTTGGCATGAGGAGGGAAGTGTAGAGATTGTTCAGGCCGATGCACAGCCCTTCATGGCATCTGCCAATGCGATAGAGGCAGAGTTTTATGAGCATGACATTGGGCTTCTTTATTTTACGGGGCCAGGTAGGAATGGCCAACCTATTGGAGTCTCAGCCCAAAAGTTTATAGACTTGGGGGTATATGATGCCCAAGCAAATGGGGAGCGGCCCAATATAGCTAATTTTTTCTCCCTCAATGAGTGATACAAACATAGAGGCAGAGAAAAAGGCCACGGTGAAAGACCCTTTGAGACGACTATATGATTTTTGGGCCGAAAGAGCGGCCGAGCATAGGTCCACCGCTAACTTATTGGAATTTCTTCACGAAGGTCTGGAAGATGATGCACTTGAGAGCCAGAACTTCGTTAGGTCTAATAGAGCCAGAACTTCGGGCCAAGATGGAGGAGCTTTTGAGACAATTCAAGGATTGCTTCGCTTGGGAACACACCGAGATGCTCGAATTGAGTCGTGACTAGGTCGAGCATCACTTACCAACGGTGGAAGATTTTAAGCCCTTAAAGCAGCTGCCCCATCGGATGTCGGCAGAAGTAGAATTACTAGTCAAGGAAGAAATTGTAATACTTGTGAAAGCCAAATTTATTAGGCCAAATTTGTAAGTCATGGCTTCGGGGTTTCTGCAGGAAGTTCATAGGATTCTTGGTGCACCAAAGGGGAACTCAAATTGATAAAAATGAGGCTAAGGCTATCATTAACGTGCCCCATTCAAAAAATAAGGTGTGCAAAGTTTATTGGGCCAAACTAACTTTCTCCGAAGGTTCATTACCAATTCCGCGGGAAAAGTTGAGTCATTCTCATTTTTGATAAAACTCAAGGATGAATTGGAATTTTGGTGGGAGGAAACACACCAAAAACCATTCGACACCATTAAGGAATATTTGGCCAAGCTTTCGGTGCACATTCCGCCAAAGCGGGGCCGACCCTTGAAATTATATATTTTGACCGCAGAGAACTTCATCGGAAGTTTGTTAGCCCAAGACAAAGATGAGAAGAAGGAGCAAGCGGTATATTACCTGAGCCGAATTCTAACGGCCACCGAGAGAAAATACTCGACGGTTGAGAAACTTTGCTTAGCCTTGTACTTTACCGCAACCAAGTTGCGGTATTACATTTTGTCCTATGTGGTGCATATAATCACCAAGACTAATTTGAACCAAAATGGTTAGGTCCATTTCTCTCCAATCAACGGTCAATTTTTGGAAAAATATTACCCAACGGTTTAGGAAATGGCAGAGAGATAGCTCGCCATAAGGGAATATCGTCGTAGAAAGATAATGATTTTTATTGGAAGAATAAGCATCATAAAAAGATCTCTTCCAAAAGTAATCATATATATACGTGGGCAAAGTTCACTACAAAATAGGGCCAAGCAACGGCCTAGGCATCTAGCCCGATTCAAAATTTAATAATGTGCAAGGCAAGCAAAAATTCTCAAACTTTAGAAATCTGGGGTTTCGATTTGCTTACCTCTACGCATATTCCGAGCTAAGCAAGTCGAGGGGGCAATGTTTGGGGGTGGTCAAAATTCACCCAATTTGCCAAGGAAGAATTCCCAGAGTCTAAGAATTCCTAGTGGCCGGAGAATCCTTAGCGGGCGAGGATTCCTAGGGGCCGGAGAATTCCTAGCGGGCGAGATTTCCTTGCGGGCAAAGAATTCCTAGCGGGCGAGGATTCCTAGTGGGTGAGATTTCCTAGGGGCCGAGAATTCCTAGCGGCGGAATTCCTAGTGGCCGAAGTGCTTTCTCAAAAATGCGGCCGAAGTGTTTTCTTCAAAAGCCATGGTGCCTTCTCAAAAATGCGACCGAGGTGTTTTCTTCAAAGGCCGTGGCGCCTTTTTAAAAATATGGTCGGGTGCTTTCCTTTACAAAAGTGGTCGGGCATATCTTTGCAAAAGTGGTCGGGCATATCCTTGCAAAAGTAGTTGGACATATCCTTACAAAAGTGGCCGAATGCTTCATTCTCAAAAAGTTGGGCCGGGCACTCCTTGAATACCTTGGTCGGCCACTCCTCTTACAAAAATCTGGGCTAGGGTGAATTTTCTCCTTGCTCACCTTGGCACCCTCCTCTCAACACATGGGCAAGCAAAGTCGGGCCAAGGGAGTTGAAGTTCGACAGGATGGTCGACGGGTGGTAAGCCAACTTTAGAATTCTAAAAACTCAAGGGGCACAAGGTTCCACCATATGTCAAGATGAACTACAATGACAATGGCAACATTCCTATCAGCCGATGAACTATAATGACAATGGCAACATTCCTATCACCCGTTGTAGTTCATTGGCTGATAGGAATGTTGTCATTCCTTTCAGTCGCTCATAGAATGTGTCCCACTGGGCGTGCCAATTTATGTTTCCCTCTTTTCGGTCGGGGCGGCCGACCGAAGGAACTTTTGGTCCTTCTTCTTTTTTGAGTGTGGGGTGTGCCACCACTAAGCCCTGAATTTGGGCTCTAATGGAATGTGAGTAGATAGATGTGTTGTGTCCGAGATCTGACTTTAATCAAATGATTGTTCGGCCGAGCAAGGAATCTCCTCACGGCCTAGGTTCTTTCACTACCTCAGGGTCAAGGCTTTGTGTGAGCAACCAAATGATGTGGAGTAGGTAGAGATGAAGATTGAAGGTGAAATGTAATGAAACGAAGAATAAGTGCTTAAAGTAAAGGTGCTTAAACTTAAATATAATTTAAAGACAATTGCGTAAAGTAAAGTGCGAAAGATAAATAACGTAAAGACGAGAATTAAAGTGCAATAAAATGAATCAAAGCGATAAATAAAGCAAGAACGAAATGAAAGCGATAAGAACGATAAAGTAAAATGAACTTGAAATTAAACTTAATTGAAGTGCGATAACAATGAAAAGTAAAGCAATTGAAACAAACTTGAATTTAAATGAAAAGAAAATATAAATTGAATGAGAATTGAAACTTACACTAAGAAAATGAAGAACTCGCTACACTAGGTGCATGAGAAGTAAAATCCTAAGTCTAGGAAAAGAAAAGTGCGAGACGAAAAATAGATTTGTCTGTCTGATGTTGTGTGTCTTCTGTCTTCGCCTGGTGAGGTTTATATAGGGCATTCGTAATCCCATGGGCTGGCCATTGAATGGCCAAATGTCAACCCTTTTAAAAATCTTTCCTTTCAAGGCCCCTTGAATTGGTGGGACTACATTGGTTGAAATATTCTGATTGCTTGATTCTCTCTTGTTTTGGAGTATGCTGAACTATCATCAATCTCCTTGATTTGTTTCCTTGTGAGGCCTTCATCACATGCACATTGACCTTTGAAAATGTTGGGCGTGAATCCTTGGCTTGGGCCTTGACCTCCGAGATTTCATCTTGACATCTGGTGGAGCCTTGTGCCCCTTGAGTTTTTAGAATTCTAGAGTTGGCTTACTACTCGTCGACAATCCGCCAAAATGGGTGATATGGGAACTCCAAATATTTGGATGTTGGGCTTGGCCCTACATTGGACTATATTTGAGTTCTCAAATATTCGAATATTGGGAATTCGGCAGACATACCTCCCACCCAACTTCAACTCCCTTGGCCCGACTTTGCTTGCCCAAGTGTTGAGAGGAGGGCGCCAAGGTGAGCAAGGAGAAAATTCACCCTAGCCCAGGTTTTTGTAAGAATAGTGGTCGACCAAGGTATTCAAGGAGTGCCTGGCCCAACTTTTTTAGAATGAAGTATTCAACCCCTTTTGTGAGGATATGCCCAGCTACTTTTGCAAGGATATGCCCTACCACTTTTTTAAAGAGAAGCGCCTGACCATATTTTTGAGACGGCACCACGGCCTTTGAAGAAAAGACATCGGCCGCATTTTTGAGAAGGCACCATGGCTTTTGAAGAAAACACCTCGGCCGCATTTTTGAGAAAGCACTGTGGTTGCTAGGAATTCTGCCGCTAGGAATTCTTCGCCCGGTAGGAAATCTCACCCGCTAGGAATTCTTCGCCCGCAGAGAATTCTCTGGTCGCTAGGAATTCTTAGCCTCTAGGAATTCTTCCTTGGAAAATTGGGTGAATTTTGACCACCCCCAAATAGCATGTCAATTTCTATTGATCATTCGATAACCATTTCTTCATACGAGCTGTTCCTTCATTATAGAACTATTACATATCCAAAATCCACATCAATTGGAGTTCTCTAACCACCTGAAACCTTGTTCAAGGTCAGTGTGGTAACCAAATTAAGCCAAAACCCTAGGTCAAATAATTCATTCCATTTGGGGATTATTTGACCTAATTGGGAATTAATAAACCTAGTTGGGAGTTACTCAATTTAATTGGGGGTTACCCAATTAAATTGAAGACTACCTAATTGGGTTGAGAATTGATTCCTAATTCCTACCCCGATTCTCAATTAAATGAGGAGTTACCTAATTGAAATAGGATTTGATTTGATACCAACCACAATTAGGGATTTGATTTACCCTAATAAATCAAATCCCTAATTAATCAAATCAATTCCATAAAGGGGAGGAATAATTCCATTCCATCTACGGAATTATTCCTCTGAAACCCTAGCCTCCAAGACCATTATAAAAGCATAGCCACACACAATGGTGAAGGTACGTCTAAATTCCTACTGAAACTCTGCAGAAATCATTTTCTCACAAACCCTAGCCACCACTTTCTTTCTCTCCCCTACACAAGGCTCCGGCCACCACACACGGCTCCGGCCACCCGGTTTTCCTTGAAATACCTTACCTAACTTAGGCATCGGAGGGCCTTTGGCCAACACCCCCCGGGTGTGGTCCTTTTACTCCGATCTGTTTTGCAGGGAGAAAGAGAAGCGGAGAAGACGAAGGAATCTTTGACGAATATTCTCGTGGGGAAAATCATTCCCTCCAAATTGGTGCTTTCATTGAGAGCACGAGTTATACTCAACGCGTGCTCAAGGAATCCGTTCCTCCTATTTTCCAATCCACCGAAGCCTTCCAAACAACCATGGTTGGAAGCATGAAGACGAGAGGCAAAACCGCCGCGATGGCTAAATCCGCGACGGCCCAAAGCCACTCCGCCCACGATCCCGCGATCGACATGGTGGCCCCACCACCTCTCACCACCGCACCGGCCACCGCCGCCGAACATGGTGGAACCTCCTATCAAGGTGGGCTTGTTACCACCGCTGACTTAGGCCCGATCTTGGAGCAACTTCAAGCGATCCCTCCATTGCCTCCACGCTCGACACATGCTCCCGCGCACACCTCCAATGAAACCCTAGCCCGTGTGCAATTGGGCTCCACACACTTCTCTCCTCCTGATCCACGAAGTCAAGCAGACCTTAGTCTGAGAGTTGACCAGCTAGCTCAGAGAATGGACGACCAAAGCGATCTGATGAGGCAACTCCTCCACCAAATCAGCTTGGCTCAAAACCTTGGCCTTGGACGACTAGGCGAAGAGAGAAGGATGGACGAACGCACCGGCAGGCAACTCAACGGGTACCCAGCAGGTCAAGCAGGAGTAGGCAGACAAGGCGAGGGACAACAACTTGATCGGCCTACCGACATGTCACAAGCATCCGCGAGCCCCACTCGGAGCAGATTAAGTTCGAGGAACAACGTGCGCGAGAGGCTAGGCCCACGACTTGACGTCCACGCCCGCTTGGGACCGCAGGGAAATGTACTTCAAAGGCTAGGCCCCCAGGGAGGACAATCAGACAACCATCGCAACGAGGATCGTGAAGAAAGACGCTCAGCTGTCCACTCGCAGACGAACATTCACGAGAGGCTACGTCCCCAGGGTGGTCAACCGGATAATCCTCACAATGAGGACCGCGAAGAAAGACGCTCCGCTGCTCACTCACGAAGAGACGGCTCTCGTCGACCAACTACGGAGAATCTCTCGCAAGCGCAGTCCACCAACACTCCGCCTAGGCAGCGCAGACGAGAAGGTCGACACTCGCAGACCCAGGAGGAGGTCAGTCAACGTCGCCCGAATCGCGATGGTCGCCAACGTGATCGACCAACAATGTGCATAGAGGACGTCGAGAAGCTTATGAATGACCGACTTCGAGATCTGAAGACTGGTGGGAACCTCGACGATGCACTACGCAAGGAGATCGACCATGCAAGCTCCACACCTTTCACTGCCGAAATCGAGCAGGCTGCTCCCCCAAAGCGATTCTCCACACCTTCGTTTACACACTTCAAAGGGGACTCCGATCCCGAGAGTCACCTAAAACACTTCAAAAGTGTCATGATCCTCCACAAGGCCGACGACGCGTTGATGTGCAAGGTATTCGTAGTGACCTTGCGAGGAGCAGCCCAAGATTGGTTCCACACCCTGCCATCTGGGTCGATCAACAGCTTCAAGGAGTTGGCTTACGTCTTCACCAAAGAGTACACCTCCTACCGGACGATCAAGAAAAACCCTGACCACCTGTATAACCTGCGCAAGAAGTCCGACGAATCCCTTCGAGATTACATCAAGAGATTCAAAGCAGAAAAGGCCAACATTGTAGGATGTGACGACCGGATCGCTTCATCTGCTTTCAAGAAAGGCCTCCCAGCTGAACACGACTTGTACCGCGAGCTGACTATCACTCCCAGCCAGACTCTAGCAGAGGTCTACGCGACCGCGGAACGCTACGCGCTCTGGGATGACGATCGAATCGCCGCAAAAAAGTCTACTAAGCATGAAGATCAACCGACTAAGCGGGCAGGTCAAAGAAGCGATGGATTTAGCAACAAGAACAAGGATAGGCGCAGGTCACACCCACAAGGAGACGCTACAGCAGGAGAGAACTACACCAAGTTCACCATCCCCATACATCAAATCTTAGCCCAAGTGAAAAACAAACCTTGGGTAAGAAGACCGCCACCCTTGAAAGGAGATCCAGACAAGAGGGATACAAGCAAGTACTGTGCCTTCCATGGGACACACGGGCACACTACCAATAACTGCCTCGCTTGGAAAGCACACCTTGAAGAACTCGTGAAAGAGGGTCATTGCACGGAGTTCATCCCGAAGCAGGCCATCCAGCGGATTGAAGATCGAGACACCGCCAAGGAACCGCCCCAGAAGGTCATAAGGATTAACACAATCCTAGCCGACGCCAAGGAGTCAGGACTGACCAGCAAGGAAAAAAAGAGGAAGATCAAACAGGCCACTATGATCTCCCAAGTCTCGACTGACCTTCTACCAACAGAAGACGATCCTATAATCGGCTTCCAAAAGAAAGATCTGATCGGCCTCGACATGCCACATAACGATGCCCTTGTCATCAGCATACAAATCGCTCAGGCCATGGTCGACCGAATCCATGCAGACGAGGGGAGCGCAGCCAATATCTTGCAACTGGCTGTCATCCAGCAGATGGGCTTGGAGGCAAAGATCAACAAATCAGCCAGATCGCTGACCGGCTTCAATGGCGCAACAACGGTTACCGTGGGCACAATAGACCTTGACGTCTACTCCCCACATGTAGTCTGCTTGCAAACGTTCATGGTCATTAATGAGGTCTCACCCTACAACGGCATTCTGGGCAGGCCATGGATCGGCATGATCAACGCCATCACCTCTGCCACACATCAGAAAATTCGGTACCCAATCCCTGGGGGCGGTGTTGGACAAATCAACAGCGATCAGGCAATGGCGAGGAAATGCTCCGCCCAAGGGCTGAAGAAAAGCAAGCAAGCGCAGTTCCTCCCAGTAAGCCAGGCAGATCTGAAGGAGGTGGAACAATCGAACCTTGCTATCTTATAGCAATCAAAGCGTCAGGACCAAGCCGAGGAAATCCGTCCAGAGGTCTTTTTGAAGAAGGATGGAAGCCCGAGGAGGACATCGAGTTAATACCCTTGGATCCTGACCAGCCAGACAAAAAAGCGCGGATCGGCTCGCGCCTAAGCCCAGACGAGAAGGTGGAACTTACCACTTTCCTCCAGAACAACAAAGATATGTTCGCATGGTCGCCGTCAGACATGCCTGGTATCGACCCGAACATCATATGTCACCGACTCCACGTCAACCCTGCCTGCAAACCAGTGGCGCAGAAGAGGCGCAACTTCGCACCCGAGCGGGTCGCCATCATCGAAGCCGAGATTGATAAACTCCTAGCCGCCGGCTTCATTGAAGAGGTCTCCTACTCGGAGTGGCTCGCTAATGTTGTTCTAGTGGCAAAACAAGAGAAGGGAAAGTGGAGAGTTTGCGTCGATTACACCGACCTCAACAAAGCGTGCCCAAAAGACAACTTCCCATTGCCAAGAATCGACCAACTAGTGGATTCCACTTCTGGCAATCAGCTACTCAGCTTCATGGACGCCTACTCCGGCTACAACCAAATCTTGATGCACGAGGATGACAAGGCGAAAACTTCTTTCATCATCGAGAGAGGGACCTACTGCTACAAGGTCATGCCTTTTGGGCTGAAAAACGCCGGAGCAACCTACCAAAGACTGGTGAACAAAATCTTCAAGGAGCAGATCGGCAAAAACTATGGAGGTGTACGTGGACGACATGCTGGTCAAGGCCCCAAAACGTGCAGATCACCTCAAAAACCTCGCTGAGGCATTCAGCCTGCTCCGCCAGTATCGCATGAAGTTGAACCCAAGTAAATGCACATTTGGTGTATCCTCCGGCCGATTCTTGGGATACTTAGTCACACAACGAGGTATCGAGGCACACCCACGTCAGATCAAAGCTATTCTAGAGATGAAGTCGCCTTCCACAGTGAAGGAAATACAAAGTCTGACGGGCAGAGCAGCGGCCCTCAACCGGTTCCTCTCAAGATCAACCGACAAGTGCAAACCATTCTTCAAAGCTTTGAAGAAAGGACAAAGAGACAAATGGGATGAGGAGTGCGAAGTAGCTTTCCAGAGTCTCAAGGCTTATCTCACTTCACCTCCCCTGCTTTCAAAGCCAGTCCCTGGTGAGGACTTGTTCGTGTACCTGGCAGTGTCCAACTCAGCTGTTAGCTCAGCTCTCATCAGAGAAGAGCTGGGGGCCCAACATCCGGTATTCTACACGTCAAAAGCTCTCCTCGATGCAGAGACTCGTTACCCAAAATTGGAAAAACTCATTTTGGCTCTTGTAGTTTCTGCGAGAAAGCTACGACCCTACTACCAAGCTCATCGAGTCATCGTCATGACCGACTTTCCTTTGAGATCAATCCTTCATAGCCCTGATGCTTCTCAACGACTCATGAAGTGGGTTATAGAGCTAAGCCAATATGACCTCATCTACCGGCCAAAAGCTGCAATAAAAGCCCAGGCTTTAGCTGACTTCGTAGCGGAGTTCACCCCATCGGCCGAAGAAGAGAAAATGGTCAACGAAAAGAAGGAAAGTTCAAAAGCAGACAGGACCCCCGCTGAACCTAGCCAACCTAGAGACACGTGGCAGTTGCGGGTAGACGGAGCGTCAAACCAGAAAGGAGCTGGAGCGGGTGTCGTCATCATCACCCCAGACGGAACCTTGTTGGAGCAAGCTATCACGCTTGGATTCCCGGCCTCGAACAACGAGGCAGAATACGAGGCATTGCTCGCCGGCCTGCGCTTGGCAAAGGAACTCGCAATCAAAAAGCTAGCCATTTACTCAGATTCCCAGCTGATCACGAATCAAGCGTCAGGTGAATACATGGCGAAGCACCCAAGGATGATCTTGTACCTTGACAAAGTCCAAGAGTTGTTGAAGGCGTTTCCTACCTTCACCATCCAACAAGTACCCCGGGCAGAGAACGCACATGCAGATGCGCTAGCCAGTCTAGGGTCAGCGTTGGATACCCAGTTCAGACGCTCCATCCCAGTCGAACACCTTGACCGGCCAAGCATTGAAGAGGTAGAGCCAATCGACACCATGCGAATTGACGAAGACCCCAGCTGGCAAGACCCCATCATTGACTACTTAGTGAATGGAAACCTACCCGCGGACAAGTCCGAGGCTAGGAAGGTCCAGCAGAAGGCCGCGAGATACTACATGCACGACAACAAGCTCATCCGCAGATCATACTCCGGCCCTCACCTTACCTGCATAAAATACCCTCAAACACTTGAGGTCCTCTGCAAAATTCACGACGGCGAGTGTGGCAACCACTCTGGGGGCAGGTCACTCGCCCAGAAGGCTCTAAACATAGGCTACTTCTGGCCTACCATGCGCCACGACTCCGCTGAATATGTCAAAAAGTGTGATCGTTGCCAACGATACAAGCCGATTCCTAATTTGCCTGCCGAAGTTTACCATCCGCAAAACAGTCCATGGCCATTCATGCAATGGGCCATCGACTTAGTGGGTCCCTTGCCACCGGCGCCCGCCAAGAAAGAAATGATGATCGTCGCCACCGACTACTTCACTAAATGGATCGAGGCTGAAGCTCTATCCTCTACTAAAGAAGCCGATGTGGAGCGATTCATCTGGAGAAACATCATATGCCGGTTTGGCTGCCCACAATCGCTGGTCACTGATAATGGCTCACAGTTCATTGGCAAGCATATCACCGCCTTCTTTGCGAAATACAAGATCAAACAACACCTGTCAACTCCGAGGTATCCACAAGGAAATGGGCAGGCCGAGGCATCCAACAAAGTCATATTGGACTGCTTGAAGAAGAGGCTAGAAGGCGCCGAAGGAAAATGGGTGGATGAACTCCCCGGAGTACTATGGGCTTATCGCACCACCAAGCGAAGGTCAACTGGTGAAACCCCATTCTCCCTCGCCTATGGGACGGAAGCAATCATCCTTCCTCACATCACAGTCCCATCTATAAACCTCGAGGTGGGCAGTGTTGACCAGAACTCCAAGCAAATGAGGCTCAACCTTGACCTACTTGAGGGCGAACGTGAGAAGACCATTATCCGAGTCGCCTCCTACCAGCAGCAGTTGAAGTCTTACTACGACAAAAGAGCTAAGGTCAGACAGTTTCAACCAGGCGACCTCGTGCTAAGAAAGGCTTTCATCACCGCACCAAGACAAGGGTCGAAAAAGATGAATCCCAACTCGGAAGGCCCTTATGTGATCAGCCGATCCGGGGGCAGAGGAAGCTACACATTGGACACCATGGATGGGAAGCAAATACCACGACAATGGAATGTTCACCATCTCCGAAAGTATTATCCATAATGCTTCCTCATGACTACTAGAAGTTTCAAGTTTTGTACTCAGTTATTTTCATTTTCGAATAAAGGACTGTAATCTTATGAATATCAATATAAGTTCAGTTTCTCATTCCAAAATGTCTTATCTGCCTACAAAACACAAACAGTTGCCCATAAGCAGCGTCCTAAGGGAGACGCAGGGCGACGACCAAAGCGTCCTTCGGGAGACGCAGCCCGTAAAAAGCGTCCTAAGGGAGACGCAGGGTGCGCCAGGAATTTCTTAAAAGGAGGTCTCCATGCCTTCTGCGGGAAGTATCCAGGTTCCTATCCGTTTCCTAAGGGAGGCAGGATAGACACGCAGTTGCCCATAAGCAGCGTCCTTAGGGAGACGCAGGGCGACGACCAAAGCGTCCTTCGGGAGACGCAGCCCGTAAAAAGCGTCCTAAGGGAGACGCAGGGTGCGCCAGGAATTTCTTAAAAGGAGGTCTCCATGCCTTCTGCGGGAAGTATCTAGGTTCCTATCCGTTTCCTAAGGGAGGCAGGATAGACACACAGTTGCCCATAAGCAGCGTCCTTCGGGAGACGCAGGGCGACGACCAAGGCATCCTAAGGGATGTCCAGAATACGCCCGGAGCCTCTTAAGGGGGGGCCCAGGCACTTGCCAACTTCCTAAGGGAAACCATCCTAAGGGATGTGCAGGACACGCCCGGAGTCCCTCAAGGGGGACCCTGGCACTTGCCAACTTCCTAAGGGAAACCATCCTAAGGGATGTGCAGGACACGCCCGGAGCCTCTTAAGGGGGGCCCAGGCACTTGCCAACTTCCTAAGGGAAACCATCCAAAGGGATGTGCAGGACACGCCCGGAGTCCCTCAAGGGGGACCCTGGCACTCGCCAACTTCCTAAGGGAAACCATCCTAAGGGATGTGCAGGACACGCCCGGAGCCTCTTAAGGGAGGCCCTGGCACTCGCCACTTCCTAAGGGAAACCATCCTAAGGGATGTGCAGGACACGCCCGGAGTCCCTCAAGGGGGACCCTGGCACTCGCCAACTTCCTAAGGGAAAAACATCATACGGGATGTGCAGAATACGCTCGGAACCCCCCAAGGGGAACCCTGTCACTCATAAATCTCCAAAGAAGAAGTGCAATTAAGACTGAAGCTGATTACTTAACAGTTCACAGGTCGATATGCAAATTGAAAGTTGAGAGTAACAACTGAAATTTCCATAACAATATGACCAACCGGCCAAGTTCAACAACAAGAATATGGTCAAAAAAGACCAATTATTCAAAACAAGAAAGCAAACCACAAAAGCTGAAAAGAAATAAAGAAGTCTTCATCTACTCTGAGGCGCCGGCAGGAGACCTCTGAGTCGCAGCCTCTTCGGCACCCACCTGATCAGCTATGCCTTCAGCAGCCTCATCTGCCATCATCTCATCTACTGTGTCCACCTCCTCTCCAACTTCTTGCTCTTCAGTTCCTCCTTCTGCACGGGGTGAATCAGGGCAGAGTGTCTCGATGTCTACATCGTCAATCGCATACAAGGGAGTAACCTCATCCGCACAGTGCAGGTAGCCCAACTTGTACGCGTCTATGATGGCTTCAGACTTGGATTTTTCTGCGGACTTGTGGTATGCGTGAAATCTAGCCAGGAGCTTGTCATGGCTAAGGGAGATGTCAGCATTCTTACGCTCAAGACTAAAGAAGGCATCTTTGCGACTAACCAAATCAGTAGCAAGAGAGTTGAGCTCAGAATCCTTCTCGGTAAGGGAGCTTTTCAGCCCAGAAATCATTGCCCTCAAATCATGCGTCTTCTTCTCATAACGGGCCTGCTCGGCAGCAAGATGGCTGGCCAATTCAGCATTCTTCTTCTCCAGCTCGCTAAGCTGAGCAGAAGAGGGGGCAACAGCAGATGAGTTCCGAATGGTCTCTGCAGCAAAAACCAATCCTTTTTGAATCAGATGGAATGACGCTTCCCTTTGTTTTTCCAAGGAAAGGCTCGAGAAAGTGCCAAGATCGCCTGCCTGACGAATGTGATCAACCAGCTCAGCACATGAGGACGGGTTCGATAGGAAGTTCGTCTTGAGCAGATCAGACACACATGCATCCCCCGCAGGGTTAGACTTATCCACCTTGGGACCAACCGCCGTCGCTGAAGAAGAACCCTTAGCCCGAGCAGATGACTCTCTCATCTTCTTAGCCTCCGCCAACTTCATCTCCAAAGGAGTCAATGATACTGAATCAACTCCACGCTTGACTGCCCACGGTTCAACAGCTGGATCATAAGCAGACCTCCCACTTCGATCTCCATCTTTCGACCGATGCAGACGACTCGAACTTCGAGGAGGAATGTCTACATCTCTTTGACGCTCAGCAGAACTAGGCCGGGCACGAGCTGTCTCACGAAGCATGTCATGGTTTTCGAGCGTGTCGGCAGGAGGCTCGGGCAGAACACCCCGAGCACCGCGCATACCACCAAC